CCAGGCAGGCTCTTATTTGCCAGTTCTCAGCACTCCCTACTGCATTACACTCACCTGTTTCACTCCTTTATACCTGCCTGACTCCTGTCTGGTATTGAGGTTTGTCTTAGGTTGTCACCTCTGCTCTAAGTAGAGCTTCTCAAATATTTCCTCTGAAGGACCCCTAAGATTAGGGAGAGTGAACCATGTTCCCTAGGGCTTTTGGAGCAGTCCAAAGTAGCCTGTCACAAGCCAGAAATGTCTTGAAGTACGTATTTTATGTTTAAAAAGTACAAATTTTGATTTACACTGCATAGTATATTTGTGTAGTTTTAGTATAAAAACAATTTATCTTCCTCCACCAAATCTTAAAAGTAAAATTGACACTTTGGAAGATGTGCCATGTATATTCTGCGGCTCCAAATATTCCTCACCACATCACCCAGTAGTAACCCAATTTAAGAGGCACAATGCTAAAGACATGAGGCAAAGAGAGACATGGAAAGAAAAACATGGAGAGAGAGCTAAGAAGAGGAAAAGAACCTGAAAGACAATAAGAATGAGTCTGAGTGACACGCTTTCTCTCTAGCCCTAAGCCATCCCTCCTGACCTGGCCCAGTAGAGCTCCTGAGCAGTTCGTAGATATCCCTGATATCTCTGGACAGGTGTTAGAGTGATAGCTCCGGATGAAAAACAAGTCTCAAAACAGGAGCCAGGCCAAGTAAGGGAGAGGTTAGGGGCCAAGAGCAGCCAAGTATGGTCAGACAGAAAAGATTGTCTAGGGGCCAGGAGAGAGGCCTGGGGACAGGAAGCAGAGGGCTAAGAAAAGGGCTAGTCAGCATTTGCTCTTTCTCCCACTGAGCCCATCTTTGTTTCACTTCCTCTTACTATCTCTGCCTGAGAAAAACAAGGTAAAGGAATTACCTTGACCTCCTTAGATGAGGGAATTTCCTCTCCAGAATGGCTACATCTCTGGCCATAGCAGAGCATAAAGAGGACGAGTACCAGGGCTTCTTTCCCTGTCCAAATGGGATTTCACCTATTCTCTCCAAGACGGGAAATACCCCAGATCTGTGTTACCGACTTAGGTGAGTTTGTTCCCCCCACCCCTTTTGGTAAGGCAAAGATAGTTCTAACTAATCTCCTATTCTAGTACTATCAATGCTGCCCTGAGTCTAACAAAGAATGTTAGGGACAGGATTTGGATATTTTCCCCCTTTGTCTATTGTATACCAAGAGAAATGGAATCACAGGATGGGGAAGATTCAGGGAGAGGCAGGGGTCCAAGTTTGGGGAAGCCCAGCCCATAGCTGAGCATCCTGGAAGGAGGGGATATTTGAGAAGGGAGAATGGTCCCAGACTCAGAAGTCATGGGGACATAGCCTCTTCCTGCACTGGTCAGGACTGTGTCTGAGGAATCCTTGGTTTCCTTCCCCCAAAGTCTTGGGTTCCCAAGGTGATCGCACGTAGCCTCTTAGGTCCTGCAGTTAGGGTTGCATCATTGTCTCCCCACTGACTCCCACTAAGGTTGCAGGGGGAACCTCTCTTCCCTTCAGGATACAAAATGGCAAATTGAATCCTGTTGGGGATAAGGGAAAGGGATTTCTGAGGGGATACTAGGAAACTAGAACTTCTTATTTCCAGCTTTCTAGTCCCAAATGACCTTGGGGAAAAAGTGAGCCTCGTCAGGGGAAAGCTCAATGGAGAAGGGGTTACCACTGGTCTGGCCAGATTAGCTAACTGAGCTATTCCTACCTAGCTCATTTCTCTTCTCTGTCCTCTGGCCAGACATGATACATGAGGAGAGATGGAGAGGCCCTGCCCCACTGGCCCCTTCCTCAATCAGAAATTTCTTAGTGGCTGGCCTGATTTGAGTCTTGGCTTGCAGATTGTGACCTTGAACTCTGCTGCAGGGATTTTCTCCTTTCTTGCTAATTGATGGAATTGCTGATCCTCCTGCTACTGGTGCTGAAGTGGGTTCTTGGAAAGGACTGGCTAGATGCCTGAGCTTATCTTTAGCTGCCCAAGTTGAAAATACGGTGGGGAAGTCCAGCGGATGGAAGGAGTTCAGCAAAAGCCGGACACGTCATGACCATTGTTCTCAGAACCATTTGGATTCTTGCAGGGGGATCAACATCAGCTTGAAGGATTCCCAGTGGACATCTAATCCAAATTCTGTTTCAGACATGAGGAAATTGAGGCTTGGAGACTTGACATGACTTTCCCAAGGGCACAAAGTTATGGAGTGGTGAAACTAGGACCATAAACCAGTGTTTTGCCCGGTTGAGATGGCAGCCCTTCCCCTTGGCCAAGTTCTTAACCAGCCTATGCCTACAAGCCACCCTTCCTTCCTTTCAAAGTTCAAACAGCAATAAAAAAGAATGGAGGAAAATAATTGTCTTTTCCTCACCAAACCATGAGTGCCCTATCCACCCAACATTTGACCCTCTAATTTTCTTTGGTCTCTACTCCCAATGTTCCAAACTGCATGTTGCAGCCAGGTCTCGCATTCAGCCATCCCTCAAACCACTTGAGTCCTTGCACTGAAACCTGCAGACCCCACTCTCAAGCTTCCTGCCCAAGATGAGAGGGGACCAGAAGGCTAGGGATGGAACACAGGGTAGGGAAAGATAGGATTCTTGCCAGAGAACCTACCCTGCCTGGGGCCAGTGCAGCCCAGGCTGTGGGCATGGGAGCAATCTGCTCAACATAAGCAGACCCTAGCAGGCACATAGCACAGGACTGAGCAAGAATCTCACGGGTCCCTTCTAAATGTTTGCAAGCAGGGCCTCAACCTCTAACCTCTCAGGTGGTCCTGCAGAGGAATAGCAGCCCTGTCTCTGTTTACTGGGCCTTAGGCTTCAGCCTCAGCCTGCCTGATAGAGCCTATGGAAAGTGGGGGAGAGGTCAATGGAAACAGTCTAGCTCATGCCTGGAACTGCTCTGGAATCTGAGGAAGCTGCTGGGTCCCATGTCTGGCTTTGTTCAGCAAGGTCACCTGCCAGGAAGGGCAGGAGGCCAGACAGGAACAAGTCCAAGAATGGTCTGATCTTTCTGACGCTTTGTCTTTGAGGCAGTACAACTGATCCCAAGTGGTTACTCTAACCTTTGTCCTCCCTTCCCCCATTTCCTGGGAAAACGATGTGCGTGTATAGAGATGGGGGCAGGGATGTGTTCCAGTCCTCCTCTACTGTCTCTTGTCTAGAATCTTCTTTGTTCCCACTCTTTTAAGTTCCCAGGCTAATATTAGGTAGGATTTAGGAGGTTACCTGTGCCCCCAAGATAGACACATATAGTTCACCAGGTTAGGACTGGTATGTGTCGTATATGTAGGGAAGAAAGGCAAAAGATTTTTCAGTGTCTTTTACTTTTGTTTTTTGCTGATTTCTCCCTAGCCACAATCACAGGCTAAAGTGTGACTATGGGAAACCCCAGTGACAGGTCCCCTGGCGCCTCCCCCCACTCTACTCATACAACACCTCAGAGAGCTAGAAAAGGAAACACACTAATCGTCACTCACAAATTGTTCAATAACTCTGGAATATTGTTTCTATTTCTGCTTCCTTCTCTGTCCACTTAGCTCCTTCTACCTTAACACCTACTACTGTACCCAAACCAGGCTTTTAAGGTGCTTTCCCTCAGTGGAGTCACAGCCCTTATTCATTCTTTACAATGGGGTCAGAAATGTCTAACATTAGATTGTCAGTCTCTATCACTTGATGCTGTAGGGAATTCAGTCTGCCTGCCTGAATATGGTTGGGGAATTTCCTGAAGGTTCTCCTGCATCCCATCTTTATGGCTTTCAAATGTTTAGTAGGGTTGCTATGACAGCATCCCAGCTATCTGTGGCTGCCTCCTTATTCAGTCCCTATTCTGGACACGCAGCTCGCCCGTGACTGTTGCATGTCAAGTGGCTGGAACCAATCAGCTCATCCAGGGCTTCCTCAGAAGCCAATCAGAGCCTAGGGAAGTGACCTCACCCAAGGGAGAGCTGTGTGGGTGAGCGTCTCTCAGTCTCTCAGAGCTGAGTGTCCCCAAAGTCACTCCCTTCCTCCCCGCCCTCCTTACTTCCTGTAAAGCAATACCGCCTACCCACCCTCCCCAAGAAGGGTGTGAGAAAAGCTAAATTCCATGAAGGAAGAACCAAAAGAGAAACTGCAATTCAGCCAACAGCCACTTCTGGAAGTGAAGAACAGGATATTTAGGGGGCTCCCTCTGCACAGAGATACCTCTTAAAGTGGGGTCTCCAGGGACTGGAAGACAGTGAGTGGGCTGAAGAAGAATCAGCAGCTCCTCCCTACTCCCTCTCCACACCTGGCTTTCTTGACTCTCCCCATAAAAATAGCTGTAATCATTCCTTGTAAACAAGGACAAGATCAAGGTCAAGCGTGGGAAAGAGAGGGCCTATGCCCCTGTGAGCACATGTGAACAATCATGTCCCTGTGGCCTGAGGACCAGAGGCTCAGAAGCCAGCTGGTCTTCAGGGTCTGGGCTATTCTTCCCTACTACTCACTCTGCGCAGCCACAGCCACGCAGACGAGTTCCTGAATGTTCCTTGGCAGGGCTAGATTAGGAGTATATGTCCTACCAGGGGGGTGGGAGGGAAGGGGCAAAGGACAGGAAGGCTGTAACCCCCAGTGTATCACACTGGGCTCTGACGAGTAAGGAAGAAGAATGGCTCAGCTAGACATCCCCTTCATTCCTTCAGCCCTCTCCCACCATGCCTCACTCTGGACAGACAGACAGATAAAAACATTTTATTTAAAAATATAAAACTGGCTTTATTCCTTCTACCTGCTCCTACTCCCAATTATCTCCACAAAGAACTATAAAAAATGGGTAGGGGTATGTGTGCACTGTCTCAGCTCTAACAACTCCAGTTCTTCTTTTGACCCTCCTTTCTCCTTTTCATACAATTAAGACATTGGTCCTTTTCCCTTTCCCCAAGATATCAGAGGTGATACAAGGGTAGATGGAGGGGAAGGGTAGAAAAGAGAGCTATCTGTCGTCATTCTCCATTCCTATCTCCAGGGACCAAACAGATTATCTGGACTCTGAGCAAAGGATTTGTTTGTCCACAAAACCAAATAATAGGAACAGTTACTCTCTGTATCCTAAATCAAGAGAGATATGGAGGGCCGGCCTGGTGGTGTAGCAGTTAAGTTTGCACACTCCGCTTCGGCAGCCTGGGGTTCACCATTTCAGATCCTGTGCGCAGACCTACGCACCGCTCATCAAGCCATGCTGAGGCAGCTTCCCACACAGAAGAGCTAGAAGGACCTACAACTAGGATATACAACTATGTACTGGGGATAAAAAAAGGGGAGAAAAAAGGGAAACAAAAAAAAAAAAAAGAGGAAGATTGGCAAGAGATGTTAAGCTCAGGGCCAATCTTCCTAAAAAATAAAAAAATAAAAAGTCGAGAGCCTCTTTGGTGGCACTTAGAGACACTCATCTTGAAAAGAAAGAAAGAAAGAAAGATATGGAGGTCCAAGGTGTTGTTTAGGGTCCTTCTTCAGTATATAGCCTCATCCATATTGTCATCACTGTCACCCCCAAAATCCTCTCCATTGTCAAAATATGACATGATGTAATCAGTTTCCTGAAATAGAAAAAAAGAAATAAAAGTCAGACATGCTTTCAGCATTCTCCTTCTGCCCTGTGTCTCAGGCCCCTTCCCTCCCAATCACACTGTTTCAGGCCTGGAAAGTCCCTTTCAGCTGTAGTTCCCTCTTGAGAAGAGCCTAGGGACAGATAAAGGGGAGGGCACTATCCTTTGAGGGCACTATCTCCTTTGGCCCGCCAACCCTCTGAAGAGAACATCCCTAGTGGACAGAGTTGATATCCCCAGAACTTATGAGGGGAAGAGAGGGGGACTGAGTGTGGAAAGAGGTCCCCTTCACCTCTTCATGTTCTTCTTCATCATACTCCTCCTCCTCTTCCTCTTCCTTCTCTTCTTCTTCTTCTTTCTCTTCATCTTCTTCTGAAGTCACTTCTTCCTCTTTCTTCTCCAGGGTCTTATGTGAAGATGAATGGGAAGAAAAGCTCAGACTCAGCTCACAGAAGGGAAAAACTGAGGGACACATGGGCCAAAGGGGAGGGAATGGATCTGGGCCCAGGTGGTCTCTATTCACATTTCCTCCTTACCTCTAGTTTCTGTATTGTTTCCTCCTTATCTTCTGTGGTCTTAGGGGGCCTTTTAGGGAGTAGAATGGTGGTCCCTGGTGAGGGGATCAAAAGGTGAACCATGAGGGAGCAAACTTTGTTAGCTTTCTACCCCACCCTCCTGCAAAGACCATGTTACTCTGCTGCCCTCATGTGGCCACTATGGCATCTGGCAACAATACTGGTGGATTGTGTAGGAATTGGGAGGGCAGGCAAGACCACCAGCTGCCTTGGCCCTCTAGCTGCCTTGGCCCTGGAACTGTTGAAGAAAATCTCTCTTCTCCCTCTTTCTTCCAGACACACTCACGCTCCTTCTGTAGCTTCCGCACTCGGATCTTTAGCTCCCGGGGTAGACGTCGCCAATCTGGGAATAGTGGGAACATAAAAGTCGGTAAGACCCTGCCTGGGGTCTCCTATGGTTGATGACTGGTTTTAAAGAAGAGATGAGGGTCAGGTCAAGGGTGAGGAAGGAAGGGGTTAGGTCAAAGTTGCTTGGACCAAAACTGTGGCTTGGATGTCTCCAGGGGAGTGGGGGCTATTTAATAGGTTTTTAGGTAGAGTCTGAAAGTGTTTTGGAGCACATCTAAGGCTCGAGCCCAGTTTGTAAATTCTGAATAGGGTGGAGAGGGAGACAGAGGAGGGTGGATGAGGTGGTGGCTTGGGGCTTGAGGCATCTCAAGCATTTGAAAGAAGGGCAATCAATGAAAGAGCCCATCACCTACCAGGGTTCCAATCGATGGCACTGTCAATCGGCCCTGACATCTGATATTTGTCTGAGTAACGTTCCACATCTGAGGGGTCAGAGGTCAAGGGTCAAAGTTTTATCCTTTCAGAGCCCCAGAAGAGGGTTGTTCCTGAGGGCCCAGCCCTCTCAATACTCAGGAATTGTCTGTTCTCTCACCCCAAACTCAGAGCCCAAGAGGTCAGCTTCAGTGAGAACCTTCAACACTCTTCTAACCTGTCCCTTTGCCACCCAAGATTACAATGTTTTTGTTCTCTCTCTTAACACAAAGGCATGGCTACAGTGGTATAGTGGGAAGTATATTAGAGAGCAAGAAACCAGGTTTCAGTCTTCCCTTTACTCCTTGTTAATGGGGCTAACTTAGGCAAGTCTTTCATCTCTCTGAACTTCAGCTTCAGTAGGAAAGCACCGGTTGTCAATATACTGAAATACTGTACTCCCACAGCAGTTGGTAAATATCTACTATTCCCAGCCTCCCAAGTGTACCCCCTTCTCCAGCCCCTCCTGGTCTCCCTGACCTCTCCATGATCCACTAACGAAAGGGGTAATACTTTAATTAACAGGGCTTCTCAGAGACCCAGCACCAGCCCATCTTTAGATTGGTTGGTGTCTGTAGTATCCAGGTTGTTAAAAATTTTAATACATCCCTTCATTTATATCTGTGAAATGGTTATCTTAAAACTTAACCTCCTACTGTCCCAAAACTATTGTGAGACTCAAAACAAACCATGGATACTAACTCATTTCAAATGCAGGGGTAATTATTATGATCTCCCCAGTTAGACAGTGAGTTTCCTGTGCCTCTTCTGGACTGTCTGGCCCCCAGTGGTGCTGAGGATAGGGCACTACTCATGGAAGGCACTCAGAACATGATGCTAGCATTCCAACTGACCTCTCTTGGGGACAGCTGGCCGGATAAAGTAGGGGAGCTGCCTCATGGCCCCTCGTAGCTCCTGCTTCAGTGCCAGGACATATTCCCCTTCTTCTCCTGAGGACAGAGGCACTGGGCGGAATTCCAATGGCTAAGAAGACAGAAGCAGTGGTCAGTTAAGGGAGAAAATGCTGGAGTACAAATCTGGGAGGGCCTCTCCTCTCCCCCCAATTCAATCCAATGCTCTCACTGAGCAGAGGACCAAAGGAAAATGTGGGGAACAATACAGCATTTTGAAAGGGGTGGAGCCGGGAGTGTGAGAAGTAAGGGTAGACACTTCCTTGCCTGCAAAACATCCCATGTGAGGTGGGAGTATGGAGACCAGGAAGAGCAAGATGAGGATGGTTTTATGATGGCCCAGGAGGAATCCAGTATCAAATATAGTCAGCCAGGGGCACATGGGAGTCTTAAGAAGGGAGGGCAGACACTCACAGGGAAGAGTGGAGACGGCTGCAGGGTAGGTGGGGGCAAGGCATCCCCCTTCCCAATGCCCACAGCCTCCATGTTGAAGGTCAACTGGCCCCGGCCACGACCCTGGCCCCCACCCCGGCTGGCCATGGTGGAGGGGGCCTGGGTATTCAGAGATCCAATGAGAAAAACCTGATAAAGACAAAAAGAGAAAAAGAAGTAGAGTAGAATGGACAGGAAGCCAGGGAGGCACAAGACACTTAATCTTTTCTCTCTGGGATGGGAAAAGCCAGTGTAATTCAACAAATTTTGACTGTGAAAGCATAGTGCCAGGCAGGGTATTTCTGGAAATAAAAACATGGATGAGACGTGGTCCCAACAGGACAGATAATTGCAATATAGTGTAACTGTAGCACAAAGGGGAAAGTGATTCTACTCTTGGATAAAATTTCCCTACATCCCTGAAATAACTGGATGTTTATCACCATCTGCATATCTACACATGACCTTTGAATTCTTTCTCTCCCTTTCCAAACCCAACCAGGCCCCGATTCAATCCAATGCAATGCATTTCAGCAAAACACTTATTAAGCATCTCCCATTAAAAAGGTAGTGTGGCAGGGCCGGCCCCGTGGCTTAGCGGTTAGGTGCGTGCGCTCCGCTGCTGGCGGCCCGGGTTTGGATCCCGGGCACGCACCGATGCACCGCTTGTCCCGCCATGCTGGGGCCGCGTCCCACATGCAGCAGCTGGAAGGATGTGCAGCTGTGACATACAACTATCTACTGGGGCTTTGGGGGAAAAATAAATAAATAAAATTATAAAAAAAAAAAAAGGTAGTGTGCCAGGCACTGTGGGGGCACAGGAATGAGTCTTCAGTCTCATTGTCAATTGGCGGGGGCGGAAGTAGGGGGCAGTGAGGGAAGAGCCATTACAAGCCAATTGATCTTTTTAAACACCACTTGGAAGCAAAGAATCTTAGAATTAGAAGGACCCATAGAGTCATCTAGTCCAAAAGCCCTCCCAGTGCAGTACGCCAGTCTGTAAGTTGTTAGCCATTCAGCTTCTGGTGGCATTTTCCCACAGAAAAGCTGTCCATTCTCCCCCAAGGCAGCCCATTCCACTGTGGTCAACTGTGATGAATCAAAAGTCCTCCTGCTACTGAACTGAACTCTGCCTCTTGTCATCCTGTGGGGCCAGTCAGATAGAATGGGGGATAAAGTCACCAAATGAACATGAAACTTGAAAGAAATGATATCCCAGTACCAAGGAGCACAACTAGCACCCAGATCTTAGTTTCTAATACCATTTTCCAATAAAGGGAACCAGGGCTTCTTGGAGAAATGGCTGATTCTAGGACTGGGGCAGGAAATATACAAGATGAGCCTGAAGCATCTTGTAATGTCAGAAACTAAGGAAATACTCCAAAAAAACAACACATACACATTGAGGGGGCTATGTCAAAGGGGCATAAGAGTCAACTGAAAGAGCTCCCAATGAACAATAAAATAAATAAAGTAGTATTGGATTATAACCCCAAAGTATAAAATAAATATCCATGAGTCCATACTGATACAAATAAATGATTGACTAAATTAACACATGGGGAGAAAAGACAAACCTCTTATGCAGAATTCCAAATAAATTATGTAGACTCCACCCTAAAGAGGGGGAATGTTAACTCCCCAATCCCTAAGTGTGGGTTGTATATAGGAAATTTTGTCCAATACAGTTTTGGAAAGAGGGGAGAATAACTTCACAGTGGAGAAACTGGACAAACACTACTGCAGTCAGGTAACCAAAGTCAACATCAACAACATTAAATCATGTTGTTGTATGTATCCTTAATATGATACAATGAAAATAGCACTTTACCTCTGTGATCCTCCTCCCCCAAACCCATAACCCCAGTCTAATCAGGAGAAAAACATCAGACAAATTTCAACAGAGGAGCATCCTATAACATACCTGATCAGTACTCTTCAAAACTGTCAAGGTCATCAAAAACAAGGAAGGTCCACACATCCATTTTATTTTTATTTATTTATTTATTTATTGTGAGGAAGATCGGCCCTGTGCTAACATCTGCCAATCCTCCTCTTTTTTGCTGAGGAAGACTGGCCGTGGGCTATCTCCCATGCCCATCTTCCTCCACTTTTTATGGGACGCCACCACAGCATGGCTTGCCAAGCCGTGCGTCAGTGCGCACCTGGGAGTGCGCACCCGGGATCCGAGCCCGCAAACCGCAGGCCGCCGCAGCAGAGCACGTGCACTTAGCTGCTTGCGCCACCAGGGCGGCGCCCACACATCCATTTGAAAAGAGGGAAAGCTGTCCTAGTGGCAGCATTCTTAAAAATAAATAAAACCACCCCTTTTGTTTTCTGATTATAGAAGTAATATACATTTATTCTAGAAAACTTGGAAACACTTAAAAGTATAAAGAAAAATACCTATTATTTCATGACCATGATGTAGTAACAATCATTATTAATATTTTAATATGTATCCTTTCAATTTCATTTCTGTGTGTATACATACATGTACATATGTGTGTATACATATGTCTATACATACATAACAGGGCCATGACAACTAAATGTAATGTGGTATACTGGATGGGATCTTGGAAAAGAAAAAGAGCATTAGGTAAAACTATGGAAATCTGATTCAAATATGGACCTTAAATAATTATAATGTATCAGTGTTGGGTTCATTAATTGTAACAAATGTACCATACTAATATATGATGTTAATTACAGGGGAAACTGTGTGCCAGGGCATATGGAAACTTTTAGTACTATCTGCTCAGTTTTTCTGTAAATCTAAAACTGTCTTTAAAAATAAAATCTATTAACAATAATAAAAAAAGAAACTTGAGTAGCAATTCAAAATTCACAGTTTCTTATTTTTGATGATGCTCCTCTGTTGGAATTTGTATGCTGTTTTTATTTTGATTAGATTTGGGTTATGGGTTTGGGGGAGGACGATCACAGAGGTAAAGTGCCATTTTCATCAAATCATGTTAAAGGTACATACTAACAACAAGTTAGGGAACAATAAGAGACAATGCAGACAATTTAATTAAGATTTCTTAAATTAGTGTTTCATAATATAAGTGCTCCCACAGTCAGGAGAAGGGAGAAAGCTAGAAGGACTGGAATGGTGAGGGGAGGCTTTGTGAATCACAGGTCTCAAGTTTGCAAGAGCCCTTAGAAATCATGTATTCATTCATTCAACAAATATTTATTGAGCATCTACCATATGCCAGACAATGCTAGACAATGGGGATCATGGTGAATCCTCCACTCTAGATGCATCTTTCCTCTGCTAAACCATGTTTAGTAAATTGTTATCCAGCTTCTATTTAAACATCTTTAGTAAGGGGACTCCCTATCTCACTTTGCTTTTCCATTTTTGGATATTTGTTTTTCAATCAATATCCAACAAATACTCTAAACAAGAAATATATGGCTCAGTGAAGTATATTCCACAAAAGATTAGTTGGTGAAATAAAGATTTAAAAATATGTATAACGTAATCTATTTTGTCAAACACATACACACATATCAATAGAAAAGTTGTTCTTGAAATGAACCAAAAATTAATATTGGTTAATTTGGGGTGATGTGTTTTTGTTTTTGTTTTTTGTTATTTTAAATTTTAAAATTTTGTGTATTTTAAGGTTTTTTCCTATGCTGAATAGGTACCGGTTTTGTAATAAGAGAAAAATATTCATTTAAAAATTTAACAATACAGTAACAGAATAGTAGATGAGATTAATAACATGTAGCAGGAAGGAGGGGGTGGAAAAATGTGTGTCTGAGGAATTTAGAAAGTTTCAAGGCCAACTGCCATGAAAAATGTGAGGAAAAACAGCTGTTGGTTAATAGATTAAATTGTGATCTGATTGAAAGAAGATATTAGGGGAGAGGGGATGTCTCATGGACACTAAAGAAGATTTAAGAATTTGTCACCATGTCTTCAGACCCTTTCAAGGGAAAGGACACTTTAACCTAACTAGCTGGCTTAGGTACCTTTCCACTTGACAGATATAGTTCTAGCAGGAGATGGGAGCTGTTTTGATTGCAAAGCAGTGAGCAGTCAAGAAAAGGCCATGAGAGATATAGTTCTAGCAGGAGATGGGAGCTGTTTTGATTGCAAAGCAGTGAGCAGTCAAGAAAAGGCCATGAGCTTTGAGGTTAGACAAATCTAACTCCATTTCTGATACTAACCAAGTGACCCCCAAGGACGTGGGGCAAGAAGACGACAAAATTTTATTTAATTCAGACAATAAACTGGTGGTTGGGAAACTAAACCATCCATCTCTACCCCACTCAGCTGAGGAATCTACAATGAGTCTCATCTATTTAAGATTGAGATTGAGTCTACATTCGTGAAGATATTTAAGGTCTCCCATAATCTGGTCCCAAACTGCTCCTCCTTAACATCAACCCTTCCTAGTGTTCACCCTGCACTATCCTTCCCCCAAAACACATCTTATATACATTATACTCATTCCCAATTACACATAACTACGTATTGTAGTAGAAGTTACTAAGAACAGGTTTCAACAAAACATACAGAAAAACAATTACATCAAATTTAAGGAAGGCAGTACATGTAGTGGTTAAGAACATGGATTTGAACCCCAGTTCTGTCATTTCTTAGCTACACAACCTTCAGCAATTTATTTAACATCTCTAAATCTGTTTCCTCATCTGTAAAATGGGAATAATAATAACAAAACCATCTTAATTAATTCATCAAATATTTACTGAGTGCTTACTATATGCCAGGCACTGTTCTCAGTGCTAGGAATATAGTAGTGAGCAAAACTCATTGTGGACAAAAAACTGCATCCATGGAGTTTGATGGGAGCTTACATTCCAGTGGAGTTATCAGTACACAAATATGTCAAGCCATGAGACTGGGTGAGATCCCTAAAGGATTGAATGGGAACAGAGAAAAGAAGAGATCCAGGGACTGAGGCCTGGAGCACAGTAATGTTTAGAGTTTCCTATATTTGTAATAAATAAGGCAAGAAGTTAACACTTTTATTGTATTAGAACTCATGGAAATCCAAATGAAAAAAAATCATCCTAAGAGAATAAATGTGCAAAGGACATGAATAGGCAATTGACAAAAAAGTGGCCAATAAAACCACCCTTTACCTATCAAATTGACAAAGATTTAAATAATAATCAGGCTGTCATGAGTCTCTCATACCTCACTGGAAGGACTATAAACACAATCTTTCAGGGAACAATCTGATCACTTGAATCAACAGCCTTTTAAATGTTCATATCCTTAATTTAGTAATCCTACTTTAAAAATCTATCCTAAAGAAATCATCAGATATATAATCAGAGATATAAGTACAAGGATGTTCATCAAATAGCTATCCATGGTAGCAAAAATTCTGAAATAACCCAAATGGTCCAACAAAAAATGAATGGTTAAAAAAATTCAAATATCCATTTTAGACTATTATGTAACCATAAAAATGACTTTAAATAATATTTAAAGGCAGAAAAGTGTTCACAATATAATATAAAGTAGAGGGAAACACATAAAATTGTATTTATTGTATGGTCCTATTTATGTAATATATATATGTACACACACATGTATATATAGGTATACATGCAGAAAGGAAATTGAAAGGATACATATTATCATAATGGTTATCACTACATCATGATCATGAAATAAGACATTTTTATTTATACCTTTATGTGTTTCCAAATTTTCTAGAATAAATATGTATTACTTCTATAATCAGAAAACAAAGAGATGGTTTTCTTTATTTTTAAGAATGCTGCCACTAGGACAGTGCTCCCTCTTTTATAATGGAAGTGTGGAATGCATTTCACTGAGCCAGGTATTTGTTTAGAATATTTGTTGGATATTAACTGAAGAACAAATATCCAAAAATGGCATGACCTGCAAAGTGAGATAGGGAGTCCTCTTACTCAAGATGTTTAAATAGAAGCTGGATAACAGCTTACTAAGCATGGTTTAGCAGAGGAAGGATGCATGTCTAGAGTAGAGGATTCACCATGATTCTCATTGTCTAGCATTGTGTCTGGCATATAGCAGATGCTCAACAAATACTTGTTGAATGAATGAATACATGATTCCTAAGGGCTCTTCCAAACTTGAGACCTGTTATTCACAAAGCCTCCCCTCACCATTCCAGTCCTCCAAGTTTTCTCCCTTCTCTGGACTGTGGGAGAAATTTTATGATGAACCACTAATTTAAGGATCTTAATTGTATACTGTGTTGTATTTTACTTTGTTTTTTATTACTGTAATTGTTCCCTAATTACGTTAGGAGTTTAAATTCTACCTCCCCAATCACTGCCATTCAATTAACCTTTATTGGGCACTATGTATTAAGTACCAGAACCTGCCCTACAAAACCTTATATTCTAAGAATAGAAACATTAAAGAGAGCAAGCGCACTAAGTGCTCTAATAAGGGTAGGCATAAAATACTATCGTCAGACTAGAGAACAATGAATTCCGCTAAAAAAGGTGGCCCAGGAAAGCTACAGGTAGGAGGTAACATTTCAGCTGAATCTTGATAGACAACAGGAGTTTGTCAGGCTCTTAGGGGAATAATGTTAATATATTCGGAGGAAGCTGATGCCACAGCAAAGAGTCAGAGGTACAAGAGTGAGTCTTGCTCACTTTCTACTTTCATCTCTCTCCTATGCGCCAAAGAAAACTACGGTTCTCTGGTATACAATCAATATAGCAATGGGAGCCCAGAGGAGAAAGGCTCCCTAGAACCAGAAGGGGGCTGACGCAACAAGCTTCCAGAAAGCTTTGTCTATCTATCTCACAGCTTGGCCCTGATGAACTAGTTCGGGAAGTGTGGGAGCCAACCAGGTCAGAGCCACCAGGTCGGAGCCTTACCTGCTGCCCCTCCCCCACACGGAGCCCACGCCGCAGCCAACTTGAAATTTGCTCTTCTTCCTCCCGCTGGTGGCGTTCTAGGTCCGCCTCCCAGAGCTCCCCATTGGTGAGTTCTCCCGGCCAATCTAGAAGAAGCTGAGGAGGGAGGTCCGCCCACTTGAAGCGAGGAGGAGAAGCAGGGAGGGGGAGAGAGTCAGCCGGAGCCCAAGCTTGGGGACCCTGGCGCGGAGAGAGACGGGGTTACTGAATCAACCAGGGGACAGTTATTTCGGACCTCATCTCAGACGGAGGAGCCCCTGGCTAGCCAGAGTTCACAAAGGGAACCTGACACTAAGATCTCACCGAGCGTCTCTGCTGAGGGAGCCCCCACAGAGAAATGAACTCTTATGAAACCTGTTCCTTAGGGATGAGTCGTTTTGTGACTCAGGCTTCACAGCTTGACCTCTCCTCCATTACTCCAATTTTCCCTTCAATCCTACATTGCTTCCCTCCAGCACCACCAATAAATATTTCTTTTCAAAAAAAAAATTTTATCTGGGTTGCTGCCATTTCTGTGAGAAGATGGGAAGAGGATTTGGAGAAGGAAGGATTAGGAATCAGAGAACCAGATTTGGGGAGGCAGGGAAGGATCCCAGTGTTTCCCGCGTTTTCCACTGCCTTTCAGCTCATCCTAGCCCTTGGCAAGGGGGGGCGCAGTGGGAGGAGTCCAATTTTCACAAAAAACAGAAACAGGGAAAAAGTTCAGAATGGAGATAAAATCTAGGAGTTAGTCAAGAAGCATATCCCAGATGTCAGGGAAAATGGCCCCGGGAGTGAAGCTTCTGGACTTGGAAAGCTGTAGGTGCCCAGTCTTTAGAATAGGACAGAAACACAGCTGAGAGGCTTTGGAAAACTTGCTTAACTTTACTAAGTCTGTTTCTTCCTCTATAACAAGAAGATAATTCCTTCTTTATGGCTTTGTTTTGAGGATTGGAGACAATGTATGTAAAGTACGTGGCATATTGTTGGTGTCCAATAAATGGTAGCTAGTAAAAAAAAATCAAGCCCTGCAAATAGTTCTCTTTCTCTCCTTCTCCAGGAACATTATTTTTAGTATCTTGTGTCTGGTGACCTCCAGCCTCTGAATTATCTCAGGTGAGTTTTCCAAATCCTTAGGATTTTTTCCTCATCCTCCTTCCCCTGATGCCTTCCAGCTGGATACAAACTCATTCCTAAAATATGCAGATGGAAGCTATGGTAACTATGGAGACAGGGCAGGTGGCAAGGAGAGGCAGAGACAGACAGTGAGAGAGACCCATTACGACAGATAGGGAGAGAGAAGACTTAAGGAGCAGTTCAGACAGAGACCTTCAAGCAAAGTGGAAAAATGATGAGTCTAAGCAAGACTGAGAGTAAAAAGATACAATGAGAGAGGATATGTTTGTAACAAGGTTTCCTCTTCTCTCTGCCCCTTTTCTATCTCCCTCCTTCCGCCCAAGAATATGGGGAGGAGGCATAAGGGAATGCCTCTTGCTGTATCAAAAAATGACCCCAGATAACCACCCTCCTCAAACTTATGTGTACAAGGGAGCTGAAGTCCAAATTTATCTATGCTATGCGTTCCATTTGGGGGGGAGGTGGAGTGAGGATGTATCTTTGTGTCTGATTCCAGCTCTCCCTGACATTTGAACTACGAGAAGGCAGCCAGACCTTTTGCCTCTCTCTGCACGGTATGGACTCCGGCTGTGGAACCCAATTGCCTCTCTCCAACACTCTGCACAGTGTGCCATGTGCCGTGTGTGGCAGGTCAGATCTGGCGCACAGGCGCGCATAAACACACCAAGCGCGGAGAATAGGGATCTGCAGGAGCTCAACGAAGAATTGGGATGGTCCCAGTCTGGGTGTCGGAGGAGTCTCCTAAGGAACACTTAGGTTTGTTGGGGCTGAGGGGAGGTCGGCTAAGCAAGGGAAGTCAGGATTGGAGCCCCTAGGTTTTGAGGGTTTATGTGTGCATGGGTGGGGTAACAGTTTGGTGCCCGACGCCCCCACCCGCAGAGACTAGTCTATAAATAGCAAGGCAGAGCTCCGCCCTCCCCGCCCCCCCCCCCAGCTTCTCTCCTCCGGAGCCGGCGCTGTGCCCGGGGCGCACCGGGAGGAGGGACCAAAATCCGGTGCCCGGGCGCAGATACTGACACCAAGGGAATCCGGGTGCCCCCCCCCACGCCATGTGGACCCCCGAGAACCAGGCTCCGCCACCCCGGCTGCCCCGTGGCCCTGGCCTTAGCCCTGGCCCGGCGGAGATTCTGCGGACATTCAGGTATCTATTTGGGCGCACAGCCTGGGAGGGGAAAGAGCAAGGAGTGATGGGGAACATAGCAGAGGCAAAAGAAACCCCCAATTCTCCCGCCACCCGTTTTAGGTCCCAAACGCAAGCTACTTCCCTCCCCCCCATTCAATTTGTGGGGCTGTGGCAACCTAAAAGAGGTTAGGAATGGGAATATGTGTGTGAATGTATGGGTGCATGTGGGTGGGTGGGTGGCGTTCAGCATCCTAAAAAGGGGGATTCCAAGTGCGGATAAGAAAAGGGGGATGCTGGAAAGGTCTGATAAGCCCTGGGGTGAGGGTGAGGGTGCGGATATCCTTGCGCGTGCACGTACGCATTTGCACGCGCGCTCGTCCTTCAATGCGGGTGCACCCTTCCCACCTCCTCAGGCATGCGATGGGGGGAAGGGGCGGCTCAAAGGCATGAATTAGAGGAAGGACTGTGCGCGGTGCCGTGGAGATCTCCCCGCCCCACGCCGGGTCCTTCCATCGGTGCCTCAGTTTCCCTGCCTGAATCCGTCAATAAGATCTCTCTCTTTCTCGCAGGGATTGGCTTCGCCACTGAGCCCTCAGGCCTCTGCCAGCCACCATCCCCACGCCCCTAGTCATTCTCGCCAGGTCCCAGGCCCGGCTCCATCGGTGCTTTCGCCCCAGCTGCAGCTATGCTGCACACCGAGGGCCACGCTCTTCTTCGGGCCGTGGGTCAGGGTAAGCTACGCTTGGCCCGTTTGCTTCTGGAGGGGGGCGCCTACGTGAATGAGGGTGATGCCCAGGGTGAGACTGCGCTAATGGCGGCCTGTCGGGCCCGTTACGACGACCCCCAGAACAAGGCGCGCATGGTACGCTACCTCCTGGAGCAAGGCGCCGACCCCAACATCGCAGACCGCCTAGGGCGCACAGCGCTCATGCACGCTTGCGCCGGGGGTGGGGGCGCCGCCGTGGCCTCGCTGCTCCTTGCCCACGGCGCAGACCCTTCAGTCCGAGATCACGCGGGTGCCTCGGCGCTTGTCCACGCTCTGGACCGCGGGGACCGCGAGACCCTTGCCACGCTGCTGGACGCCTGTAAGGCCAAGGGCACGGAGGTCATCATCATCACCACCGACACCTCGCCCTCGGGTACCAAGAAGACCCGGCAGTATCTCAATTCCCCACCTTCCCCGGGGGTGGAGGGCCACGCTCCCGTTCCTTCTAGCCCGGGGGTCTGCACGTCGCCTTCGGAAATCCAACTGCAGACTGCAGGAGGAGGAGGACGGAGATTGTTATCCCCTCGCGCCCAGGAAGAAGAGGAGAAGCGGGACGTATTTGAATTCCCTCTTCCTAAGCCCCCCGATGATCCCTCCCCTTCTGAGCCGCTCCCCAAACCACCCCGTCACCCTCCAAAACCACTCAAAAGGCTAAACTCCGAGCCCTGGGGCCTAGTGGCCCCTCCTCAACCGGTCCCGCCCTCGGAAGGGAGGCCGGGGATTGAGCGCCTGACCGCCGAATTCAACGGCCTGACCCTGACCAGCCGACCGCGTCTTTCCAGACGTCACAGCACGGAAGGTCCGGAGGACCCGCCCCCGTGGGCGGAGAAAGTGACGGGCGGGGGTCCCCTGTCTCGCCGAAACACCGCGCCAGAAGCTCAGGAGTCTGGTCCCCCTTCAGGGCTGAGGCAGAAACTGAGCCGCATGGAGCCGGTGGAGCTCGATACCCCCGGAAATCTTTGCCCTGACTCGCCAGAATGCAGCCGCCTGTCCCTGGAGCGCCGCCGATACAGCGCCTCCCCGCTGACCTTCCCTCCAGCCGGCTCGGTTCCCTCCCCGCGCCAGTCCCAGGAGAGTCTGCCTGGGTCTGTATCTCCGCTGAGCGGGCGGAGGCGGAGTCCTGGGTTGCTGGAGCGGAGGGGCTCGGGTACGCTGCTCCTGGACCACATCGCGCAAACGCGGCCTGGTTTCCTGCCCCCGCTCAACGTCAGCCCCCATCCTCCCATCCCCGACATTCGCCCCCAACCTGGAAGTCGGGCGCCTTCGCTGCCCGCTCCTCCCCAGGCGGGGGCGCCAGGCTCTCCCAGGACCAAGCGCAAGTTGGTGAGGCGCCACTCCATGCAGACTGAGCAGATCCGACTGCTAGGGGGCTTCCAGAGTCTAGGCGGGTCAGGGGAGCCTGGGCGCTGAGAGGAGTGAGACGAGCCAAGGAGAGTGGGGATCAGGACCTTGATGGGACAGGTGGGAGAACTGGCTCACACACACACCACGGACATAGGGATCTCTTGCATGTGCTCATGGGCACGGTGCACGCACACATGGGTAAACGTGTCCACAAGCACAGTACTTTTATTCACAGGGAAGAGTAAGTACTCTATTTACTGGGCATATAGACACATGCATTCATGCCCTGGTCACTTCACACGCGTATGGGAATTACTTGTGTACCCACAGGCATGGCATACACAGGACCACTTGTGCTAGGACCCCACATGGGTCCCAAACTCTCTTGCGTTTGTTCAGAAGCAGTAGGGAGCCCCTACTTATGGGTAGTTTCCAATCTCTTTGCCCTCCTACAGAAGCAAACCCTTGCTTTCTATGTATGCCCTGCAACACAGTCCGCTCATGATTTTGCACACTCTATCCTTTTTGTGAATATTCCAGATATTCTGCAGGTTTTGCAGGTCTTGGTTCTCTCTCCAGGCCGGCTCCTTGTTCACACCCTGCTTCCAGTCCTAACTACTTTTCAGGATATATTCTTCACTCTCCATGGGGGTTTCCTGCAGCAATCTCCAGCCTCAGTTCTGCTGTTGGCCTTCCTGCTCTCTGCTTTACTTCTCAACTTCCTGCTTTTTATTCCCACCCTGCTCCCCTGCAACCAGTACAACAGGTTGTCTCACTTTCCCAGGGGGTGGGTCATGGGCTCTAAGCTGCCCTTCTGTCTGTTTGAGCTTATGAACACCCCCACAGGTAGAAGTGGGGAGTAATCCTAAATCACTCCTCTCTCCACTTGACATATCAAATAAATGTGTTCAGAAGTCTCTGTTTTGTCACTTCTGTCTGGGGGGTGTCGGGTACAAGGAATGGGGAGGAAGGGTGACGCTAACTATAGCTATAATGGTCTAGGGCATACTTAGATGTTCCAGCCACCTTCTTTCCAGGAGACCAACTGACCAACTGCGGTTGTAGAAGAAAAGGCAAGTGTCTTGTGTCCTGAGAGTTTTAAGGCATTTGACAGGCTTTCATTTTCCCCAGTCTCTCCTATGTCCATCCTCAAATTCTTTAACTTGCGATTCCTACAAAGAGTCCCTCCCTCCACTGTTGGCAGATATATCCCAGTAGATTAACTGTCCCTCCAAGCTTCCTATTTCTTGACCACTCATAGTTTTTCCTTGCGAGTGTAACTTTCATCTCACAGGTGCATTTCATTCATTTTCTTCTACTTCTGGCTTCTATTTCCCCATCCTTGATCTGAACCACTATAGGGTGGAGAGAGACAGATTTAGAGAGACGGAACGAGAGAGCAGTAGTTAATATAACCTCACTTAGGTCAAAATGGCATGATGGTCAACTGACAAAGGGTGTGTAGTGTGGGTGGGTGTGGGTGTGTGTGTGTGTGTGTAAGAGTAATCAGAGGAACCCAACTGGCAAAGGGTGTCTAGTGTGTGTGTGTGTGTGTGTGTGTGTGTGTGTGTTTAAGAGTAGTCAGAGGAACCCAACATGACAGATTCTATGAACAAGGGTACCTGCCTTGATCTGCCCCCTGGACCTCTCAGTTTGCTGATTTTCTGCATATATTCTAACTCTTCCTTACTCCAATGAGAGGTAAGGGAGCAGCCCATTCTACTCTTTCTTACTCCCTCCCCCCACTTAGAATAGGTGAAATCAGAAAATTACCCAACAATGTGGTATAATGAAAAAATCAAAATATTGGGAACCAGGAGACCTATGTCTGAACCCCTCTTTGCCATCTCCTAGCTATTTAATTTTGCGCAATTTATCTAGCTCTCTGAGTGTCAATTTCCTTATCTGTAAAATGATAAAATCTAGTTAGTGATTGTAATTATTAAATAAGAGGATGCTCTAAAGTACACTCTTTAGTGTCTGACATACAGTAAGTATATGATCATTAAATGTCAGTATCTTTCCTTGCTTTAGCTTCATCACCAATTGCATGTGATCTTGCACAAGTCATATCACTTTTCTGAGCCAGTTTCCTCATCTACATCTATAAAATGAAGTAGTCAGACAAATGATCTCTAAGAATCCTCTCACTCTGTCTATAATTCTCTCCGACCTTGCATCCAGGGGTTTTTTTCCCCAGGCCTCCCTCCGGGGTCTCGCCCACTTTCTGGTACTCCCCCACAGTACTCCAGAACACGCTCCCAAGCTAAGCTTCTCCCTTATAGAAGATATCGCCTTTTCTCTTTGTAATTGGTTGCTCAAAACCTCCACCCTCTTTAATAATTGGCCTATGGCGGAGCTGGAACCCACCAGCTCCCGCCCCCTCACCGGTGATTGGCATGGGACTTGGCTCGTCCCCGCCCCCGCTTGACTGACGGCTGGGCTCCGGCACCGCCTTCAGTCCCTGGGCGCTCACTGGCGAGGGTGGCTGGGACCGTTAGCTCGCCAGGCTGGCAGGCTCCGGGCCGCTACTCCACTGGCGGCCGGGATGGAGACGATGCGAGCGCAGCGGCTGCAGCCTGGAGTGGGCACCAGCGGGAGGGGCACTCTGCGAGCGCTTCGGCCGGGAGTGACTGGGGCCGCGGCTGCCACCGCCACACCCGCAGC